GAGAGAGAGAGAGAGAGAGAGAAGGGGGGTGCAGTAAAAGCGAAAAAGAAGAGACACAGAGTGAAAGCAAGATAGAAATCAAGAGAAAGAAGAGGATCGTAAGGAAAGAGGGAGAAACGGAATAGACATAAATGTAGAAAGAACAATGAAGACAACGGAAAGCGAAATCAGGAGAGACAGAAGAAAGCACGAACAGACGAGTCGAGAACAACAGAAGGAAACACAGGGGTAAGATGATAGAAAACTGAGAGGGGAGAGAGAAGAAGAGGCAGGGGGGGGGGTAGGGAACGGGAAGTGGAAACCAAGTGGTTTCAAGTAGCTTAGGAAGCCATTTCCAACAATACCAACATCTGATTGGCTGAGCCGCCCAACTCCCAGAAACGCTCACCGGCTGCCTATGACGTCTGAACATAGTGGTGGCGGGGAGGGGGCGGTTGGAGAGGGGGGCGGGGAGGGGAGGGCAGTTTGAGGAGGCGGAGTCAGAAGTGAGTATTTTCCCCCCTGCTCTGGAATGGCTGGCTCGAGGAGGGGACTCGCGTCTGGTATTGGAAGGATGCCGGGTCTGGAAGCCCGCCCTGGGGGCAGTCACGTCTGGCATGAAGGGGAGAGCATCCAGGCACGAGGGGAGAGAATTATGCAAACGTGCGCGCGACTCTGTGCTCGCTAGAGTCCCGCCACCTCGGCACAGCGCCTCGCATTAGCGGATCTCGGTAGCGAGCAGACGAAATGAGTTGCGTCGATTTTATGTATCAGTTCTATTCGCCGTATTTCTCCTACAAATCCCCAGCAGAGGATGCTCAGGTAAGGAAAAACTACTACGGTAGCTAGCTATACTTCTGCTCTAAAGCGTTGGTAGAAGTCACCGGCGGATTCTCTATTCCGAAGATGTCGCCAAGAACTAATATCACCGACGGCGGAGACGATCGGAAGCTCATCGGAACTTACCCGGAATGGAATTCGATCTCTGGACAACCGCTCGGCCTCAGAAATTGGAATTCGTTCAATATGCATTCCTTGACTGACCACCGGTTCGGCTAACGGGGTTGAAGATACCCGGAATGGAGAATTGCAACCCAGCAGCTGACCAGCGCTTCTCAAAGACAGGCTATGTGGGTGCCTGCCTGGGCGGAATGGTTGAAAACATGCCGAAGCGGGTGCAGGCGACATTGTCGGAGAGTCGGGCATGGCATAGGACTTTCCACAGACCCCGGGCCTTAGCCGGTGATAAGCCGAGAATTCCTTTATGCATTGCGAGAGAAATGCCCCGAACATTCAACGGAATTTGGCCCCCCTCTTTTTCCTTCAAAGGGTGGCGTGAAATATTCCCCACCTTCAGGAACTTGGAGGAAGAGAAAAGTTTTGCCATTGATTTTCGAGCCTTCATTTCTGAGTAGGTTTAGGAAGGGGGTGGACTTCCACCACACCCCACCAGGAAAAGAGGAGGCTTTGGTTATCGGATGACCAGGACGTTCAGATTTGGGAAGTAACCCCCCATGGATAGCACTTGGATCGTTTCGTTTGTCACACCTAGGGACTTGACTTATTCTGTGATTTTGTAAGATTTCCAAACAGCAACGACGAAAACACAAGGGATTTGTTTCATGACGATATCTAAACTGATAGGTTTTTGATACTTGTCTTTAATTTCATCATCATCATCATCATCATCATCATCATTATCATCATCATCATCATCATCATCATCATCATCATCATCATCATCATCATCATCCTCATCATCATCATCATCATCATCCTTAGCACTACTACCACTACTATCAACAACTTTTTAAAAGTTCTAGCTGCTATAATCTCTTGAACATGTTTCTTTTCCTTCTACTCACTACTAAACATTGTTTAAAACATAGCAAAGGAAAAAAATACTACTTCTAATTCCCTTGATGGTCTTTCATACCATCAAGGGGCTTCGTACCAGATTCTTAGATCATTCTTAAGTTTTTCAAGTGGTCAATTTTCCTGTGCCTACGAAGTCCGTTCAGCTAATTCGGTTCCCATGAATGTTTCTCTTCCTCTCTCCCAGCCTTGGTTTAGTCATCTCTCTGTTTCTCCCCTCTATCCCCAGTCTTGCTCTCTATGCGTTCTTCTTATTCTACTCTCTCTGTCTCACTCACTCACTCACTCACTCACTCACTCACTCACTCACTCACTCACTCACTCACTCACTCACTCACTCACTAACTCACTCT